GAAGACAATCAGGAGACATTTCTCAACCCATCTCAGTAACATTCCAACATCATAATCCCCACTTTTAGGAAATCACTATTTCCAAAGATACTGCCATTCTTCCACATACTTTGTAAAAATAAATAGATCAACACCTTTACAGTCTCAACAAGAAAAACAAGGTACAGAATTAAGGCACATTCTATACCTCTGCAAGCTAACTTGTCTATACTTTTTCCAGCCCTTGAACCACCTGTTCAAAACTCCCATATCTAACCCAAGTAGTAGTCCCTGGGCCTTTAAGTTGTGGGGGGAACAAACCAGCCATACTTATGAGTGCTCCTGAAGGACACTGAGATTGATAAAGTCTAAAAGTTGAATAGAGAATAAGGTCTGAGGACTAGTGCAAAACAGGGTGACTACAGTGGATAATACCGTAAGACCTAATTGGCATTTGCTAAGAGACTCTAGAATATAAATGTTCTTACACACACAAGAAATGTTACTATGGAGACGCCTGGGTGACTTAGTGGCTGAGCGTCTGCCTTCGGCCCAAAGCGTGACCCCAGGGTCCTGGGATCCAGTCCCACATCAGGCTCCTGCGAGGAGCCTGCTTCTCCCTCTGCCTGTGTCTCTGCCTCTCTCTGTGTCTCTCGTGAACAAATAAAGTTAATCCTTTAAAAAAAAAAAAGAAAGAAAGAAAGAAAAGGAGAGGAAAGAAATGTTACCACGTGAGCTTATGGAGGGAACCCTTTCCCATTGTACATGTATATCAAATCAGCACACTGCACGTATATTTTCAACATCTGATGATCATCAACACCTTTCTTGCTAACTCTCCCCACTTCCATCTCTGGCAGGGCCCAGGCTGAGATCTCATCATCTCCTTTATCCTTCTGCTTGCCCCATGTCCTCGATTTCCAGGCAGGTCCATTTCCCATCTCCTTCGCTGGACATCAGCTACTCCAGGATAGGCCTTTCCTCTGTGAGGGCCCTGGGACTACATCTCAGCATCAAGTAGTGTTTGCTGCTGGAAAAAGGCACAGGAAGAGAGAGAATGGCTCAACGTCCCCAGAAAGCACTTGAGTAACATATGTGAAGAGTTTTTAGTATATTTTATCCTACAGCCTAGTCTTCTTCCTCTTACCCTAAAAAAAGTCAGAAGAGGTTCCAGCAGAGTATGAGTGAAAAGGCAATCCAGGCAGATGAAAAAGAGCTGCACGAGTTGTGAGGTTTGTGGCTGGGAGTAACATGAAACAGCAACAAACTGGCTTAAATAATCAGCACAGATCCAGAGAAATATGGAGGCATGATAGCCTTCAGGGTTGGTAGATTTAGCAACTTAAAAAAAAAAAAAAAAAAAAAGTAGTCTAATATTCAGGTTCGCTCCGGGTCTCTGTTTTTCCTTCCTCCATATTGGTCTCTTGCTAAGTTTGGCTCCCCTAGTGGCCACCAGCACTTGTCAGCATTCTTGTTCACATCTGAACGGAGCCAGAGCGAGCCTGATTTCACAAGGCTTTTGCTTAAAAATAAGAACTTTACCCAGAAGCCTTCGGCAAACTTCTCATTGGCCAGAATTGGATCACATGGCTATTTCAAATCAACCACTGTCTGGGAAGGAGGAGATAGTAGTGGAGAAAGTAGTTACCCTGAAGCCAACAGCAAGCTCTACCCCTTCTTACTGAGATGAATTTCCGGAGTGTACTTCTTCAGTCCTGTGGGGTAAAGGTGCAATGCTTGGGAGTCAGTCGCCCCGTGCACCCCAAGAGCTAAGGCATATATACATGAAATGGTATAGCTGGTTAGGGAAATAGTGAGTAGACTGATTCCTTTGCACCATAAATTCACTTGAGCATAATGGGACTTGGAAATTCAACTGGTAGAGCCAAGCTCTTCCCAAACCCAAACCTTTGGGACTTACAATATAGTCCTTATACATAACATAAAATTTGTTTTGAAGGGGGCACCTGGGTGGCTCAGTGCTTGAACATCTGCCTTTGGCTAGGGTTGTGATCCCAGAGTCCTGGGATGGAGCCCCCCCCCCGCATTGGGCTCCTCACAGGGAGCCTGCTTCTCCCTCTGCTTCTGTGTCTGTCATGAATAAATAAAGAAAATCTTTTTTTTTTAATTTCATTTTTAAAAACGAAATAAGAAAAAATGTAAGCTGGTGAGTTATATGGTAGAGACAAGCTATGTTTCAAGGTTTCACAGAAAGAAGAAACAATGCAACATAAAGCCCCTGGAGAACATCTCAGGAAGGAGAGGGATTGGTGTCCCATAGAAGGATGAGAGAAATCTACTGGTAACTTCCCTCTGGCTTTGCCCATCAAGGGAGCTGAACTGAAACAACACTGAGCTATGAGCTAGGGGAAATATTCAGAGGGAATGAATTTGTGATGTCTTCATTTTACAGATGCTATGATTTTGGTCTATTCTAAAATTCAACAATTTTTGGGTGCTGCTCACTTCGAAGAAATTTTCCACTACTGACCATTTCCAATATATATATTTTTAAATCCCTACACAAAACCACAGCCCACCTTGCTATTCTTTGCCAGATAAACAAAATTTTGTCTCAATTATCCTCCTCTCCTTAATCACATGTAATTTTCAAACTAGCTGTTACTGACAGTCCTTTCTTTCCTCCTATTTACTATCTCACATCCAATTAGGGGAACTCGGCAAAAGGAAATCCTATAGCAAAATGCCATATACCTTACAATTTAAATACATACTCCTAGAGGATAGCAACTTGGCAAAGAGAGAACCGGACCCTTTCCCTAGAAGACCCCATCATTCGGGTCTGTGGCGGATCACTGGCCTGAAATCCCAGCATTTGTAAATACACACCCAAGAGGGACAAGATCCCTCCAATGAAAGGTATAGGTTTTCTTTCCCCCTTTTTTCCATTCCTGCTTCTCTCATAGCTTCCCAGAGGTACTCAGGTTTCTGGGGGAATATTTTCAGCACACACTGAACTGACCAGCAGGTTTCTCTCCCTGCCCCAACAGCCCCTCCACCGTGATCAGGCCTTTCAGCCCGGAAAAACGGGAGTGCTATCACTTGGGGAAGGCCTTTGTGCTTGAGATAAATAACTCCTATGCCTCTGTCAGCTTTCTTTGACAAGATAGCTCTTCCCCGCCACCATACAGATCACCCTCCTATCTGTAAAGCATGTCAGAGGATACAATTCTTTTCCTTGTTTCGTTAAAAGAAGCCAAGTTCCAAGAAAATCCGGAGGGATTCCCACAGTCCCTTTTTACCAAAAATAGGTGTATCCTGCTTTTTCGTGGGCCTCTTTGAAACCTTCCACCCGAGCTGATCCATGTAAAACTAGCAAATTGGGTGAACGAGTAGGGAGCCATCAGCTGGCCGTCCCTCCAAAAACTGTTCCTAAGTACCTCATATTATGAAGAATTAAGAGTGAGTGGAAAGGAAAAAAAAATTGCCTTTCAAGGAGCACACAGGATGCTAGGGAAGAAGGAAGGAGTGGGACTTGTATGGCTGCTGACTCTGGAATCTTCAGATCTGTTTGGATGAGTCACTACCCATGACTTCTACAATAGGAATCTGATTTGACTAATCATCCGATAGAAACTTTTATTTCTGTCTCTCAGCATGTGAAATCTATCTGACTGTCAGGTTTCCTTACTGCTTGAGCAACAAACCAACAAGTGTCCTAGGAACATACTTGTCATCTTCCAGAAGTACTCGGTGTATGCTGAGTAACTGGGAAACGTTCATGCTGTAACCCACACACGTGCACCTTGTCACACAACACTCCCACACAAGAAGAGTGAAACTGCCCTTTGATGAAGGCAAACTCGTGGGCGTTTCCAGCAGTTAGGAGTCCTGCCAGGTGTGAGCTCAAAGAAGGAAGGTGAACCCGAGGGCTTTCCCCTGCCTGTGGCTGAGATCCTTATTTGGTAAAGCTGCTACCTGCGTCCTGCGTCTCCGTCGGGGCCAGCCCGATGGCGCAGGACCACAGCAGGGGGAGTGTGGCTGCAGACATCCCAGCCCAGAGAGATGAATGGAATTCCAGGCAGCTGGAGTCATGCTGGCTTGAGACAGTGGTTTGGAGACCAGACTTCCAATGACAGAAGCGCTAAGCAGCCGCGCTCGTGGTAGTTGGTGCACCCACAGAAATGTAACCCACACCTCGGTTTCGGGAGCTAAAAAATGAAAAGAACGTTGAGGGAGGCAGAAAGGAAATAAGATGATAGGTGGAGGGTAATTTATTACTTGATGGGCCTGTTCTGTAAATAGTCTAAGACCCCGGAGCCAGATGCTTCCGCAAGTCCTCCAACCAGGAGTCACGTTAAGAAGCACGAGTGGGCATAGAAACTGTTTTTCAAGCCGCAAGGCCCGTTTTGGCTGCAGGGAGGCACTAGGAGGCCGTTTCCGCCGGGGTCGCGGCCAGCAGGCGGCGGCGGGCGCGGGCCCGCTCATCAGAACGCAAGACCGCCCCCAAGCGGCCAGCGGACGAAGCGCCGTGCAGCGCGGGAGGCGGCGGCGGGGCCGCGGGCGCCGGGCGGCGGGGACGCGAGCTGCGATCGCCGGCCCCGCTCGGCTCGCGGGGCCTCGGCGGAGGGCGGCCGCGCGCCCCCACACCCCGCCGGGCGGAGGGAGGAGGGTCGCCCCGGCGGGATCGCTGGGCTTTACCGACGGGCTCGGTCCCCAAGCGTCAGCCGCGGCCCAGGTGTTCCAGGAGCCGGCTGTGCCCGAAAGTCCCCCCCCCCCCGCGTCCCCGCCCCCGCACGGGGGGCTAAGGCCGGTGCCGGCTCCCGGGGCTCCCTCCGGCCTCCCGCGGCCAGAGCGCCGAGCGCGCGCGCGCCCAGGCGGCGTGGGCGGGCACCTGGGGGCAGGGACTCCGCCGCCCGCGCCCCCCGCTCCCCCCCCCGCTCCCCCCGCTCCCCCCGCTCGCGCTCCTCCAGCTGGAAAGTGAGGCTGCGGGCGGCGGGCGGCGGGGGGCGGAGAGCGGAGCCCAGCCTGGCCCCCTCCCGCGGGCCCCGCCGCCTCCCATTGGCCAGAGGCAACCCCAGGAATGTGCGCGCGCCTTTAAAGGCGCTCGGCCCCGCCGCCCCGCCAGCCACTGCCTCCCCGCGGCCTCCCGCCCCGCGCCTCTCCGGACTCGGCGCCGCCGCTGCACCCGAGCGCACAGGTGAGGAGCCCCGCTCCGCCGCCCTGAGCCCGAGGCTTCGGCCGTCGGGGAGCCCGGGTCTCCCGGTGCCCGCCGCGCCCCCCGGCTCCGGAGCTCTTCCCTCCGGCCGTGGGGTTCACACCCCAACTCGTCCGGACTCCCCAGGATTTCCTTTCTCCCCACACCTTTCCCCGAGTCGTCTAGAGGGGAGTCCCGACTTCCCCCTGCCTCCCCGCGCCCCCAGACCGCTTCTCCTGCCTTCCCTCGACTTCCCCAGCCAAAGTCCCCAGGTTGCTGGTCTTTGCCCCAGCGCCACCCGCCGCCAACCTTAAAGCCCGTCTCCTCCCCTCACTCTTTCTTCCTGCTGCCCTGTCCAGAGTAAATACTGTTGTGCCTCGTTCCGGCAAAGGTGAGGCCACAGGGGGATCCGCCAGGGCCCTGGCCCCGAGCCCGGCGCCCCCGGTGGTGCCCACTCTGCCTGCTTGGCTGCTCTGACCCTGGGGTCTGTGCTTCTGCTACAGGCTCCCGCTGGGCACAAGCAGCTCCACCATGGGGCTGGCCTGGGCACTCGGCGTCCTGTTCCTGTTGCATGTGTGCGCCTCCAGCCGCCTTCCAGGTGAGTCTGTGTAACACCTTTTGAGCGGGGAGGGCAGATGAGGAGGTGCCGGTTACCCCGAGGGCACCCCCCTCCCCTGCGCTCTTCTGCCAGCCGCTTCCCCCAGCGCCCTCAGTGACCTCAGCAGGCAGCTCCCCCCTGACCACAGTGCGGATTCAGTTCTTCCCGTGGTTGCCCAGTTTTTGCCCTGCCCTTTTGCCCCGCACCCCTGCCCTCAGCCTAGAAGGCTCACTGTGTGCCCTGCTCCTGTTGAACAGAGTCTGGGGGAGACAACAGCGTGTTCGACATCTTTGAACTCACGGGGGCTGCCCGGAGGGGCTCTGGGCGCCGGCTGGTGAAGGGTCCTGACCCCTCCAGCCCAGCTTTCCGCATCGAGGATGCCAACCTGATCCCCCCCGTGCCTGATGACAAGTTCCAAGACCTAGTGGATGCTGTGCGGGCAGAGAAAGGCTTCCTGCTCTTGGCCTCCCTGAGGCAGATGAAGAAGACCCGAGGCACGCTGCTGGCCATAGAACGGAAAGACCACTCTGGCCAGGTCTTCAGCGTGGTCTCCAACGGCAGAGCCGGCACCCTGGACCTGAGCCTGACCGTGCAGGGCATGCAACACGTGGTGTCGGTGGAAGAAGCGCTGCTGGCCACCGGGCAGTGGAAGAGCATCACCCTGTTCGTGCAGGAGGACAGGGCCCAGCTGTACATTGACTGCGAGAAGATGGAGAACGCCGAGCTGGATGTCCCCATCCAGAGCATCTTCACCAGGGACCTGGCCAGCGTGGCCAGACTCCGCATCGCGAAAGGAGGGGTCAATGATAACTTCCAGGTGAGGCCTCTCCTCCAGTTCGTGGGGTCGGCTGCTGACCTGTCAGGAGGGCTGCAGCGGGGGAGACAGGGATTCCAGTACAGGAGATCCCGCCTTTGGACTAGAGCTGTGCTTCCCACGCGCTGTGCTTCCCACGCCTCCAGGGGCACCAGAATCACCTGCAGGGCTCGGTGAAACGCGCGCTGCACCGCATCCCCAGAGGTTCAGAATCCGTGCCCCCGGGATGGGGCCTGATCATTCGCGTTTCTAACAAATTCCAGGTGAAGCTGGGGCTTCACAGGCTGCTGGGGCCTGTGTTCTGGGCGTGCCGTACTTTGAAGACCACTAAAGGAAACAAGTAGCTTTCCTATAAGCACCTGTTCAAGTCCTAAATACTCCTTATGCTCTCCTCAAGAAAAGAGCTTCTTTCAGATCGTTCTGCCAATTGTGATGTAGCTTGAAATGGATACTGTGAGCGGAATAAATACCACTTTGCCATTTGATTCCTCATGGGGTTGGAGCCAGTCTCAGGAGCCGGTCCCCAAAGGTTAAAATAGTGGCTATTTGTGGCTGTGGCTTCCTCCTTGCCTGGATGTCTAGGTTTTTGCCACTGTGGCTTTGAAACTCCCACATCTAGCTCTTTGACACTAGAGAGGGTCATTAAATCCTCTGTCCTTAGTATCCGATCCCATTTCCTGTGTACCCAAGTAGGCAGATAACGGATTTCTTTGTAAAGTACTCAAGACTTGGCGGACAACCCAATTAAGATTGTGAAGTTGTTTGGCAGTTGACGGTGTGTTATTTTGACGTGGTGATCTTCAAAGGGAGCTCTTTCAAAATTTTAGAACTTATGTTGTGCGCTTTTCCTGGAATAAACCGCCCCCCCCACCACCACTCTACAAGTAATGTGTGTCCTCTGCCCCCAGGGGGTGCTGCAGAACGTGAGGTTTGTCTTTGGAACCACACCAGAAGCCATTCTCAGAAACAAAGGCTGTTCCAGCTGTGAGTACTCTTTTTTTTTTTTTTTTTTTTTTTTTTTTGGTGGGGGTGGGGGGTGGTGTCATATGAGGACATTCAGGAGATTCCACCTAAAACAAGCTGAGAACCTTAGGGAGTGGTAGTCATGCCCCAGGTAACCCCAAGTGACCTCAAAGAGTAATCCACACATATGCACCTGCTCCTTGTGTATCCTTCACCCCAGGTGTCATATCTTTACAATTAGGAACTGGGGGGGGGGGGACTGGCTTGTGAGAACAGCTATGTGAAGATCTGCCAATACTTTTCTCATCGTACTCCTTTTTCTTGGCAGCAACCAACGTCCTCCTCACCCTCGATAACAATGTGGTAAATGGCTCCAGCCCCGCCATCCGCACTAACTACATCGGCCACAAGACTAAGGATCTGCAAGCCATCTGCGGCATCTCTTGTGATGAGCTATCCAGCATGGTTCTGGAGTTGAGGGGCCTGCGCACCATTGTGACCACACTTCAGGACAGCATCCGCAAAGTGGTCAGTGGCCTCGGCTCCCAGCCCTAGGGCACAAGCACCTGAAGGGGCATCACAGATGCCCCCCTGCCCCCAATGACAAAAAATGAAGACAGACACTAATGACCTTTCTCCCCCTTCCAGACTGAAGAGAACAAAGAACTGGCCATTGAGCTGAGGCGGCCTCCCCTCTGCTACCACAATGGAGTTCAGTACAGGAACAATGAGGAGTGGACCGTCGATAGTTGTACCGAGTGCCGCTGTCAGGTAAGGGCTCATTCCAGACTGAAATAGGAAGCAATGGCATGTGTTCAAAGCCCAACTCTGTGGGCTAGACCCAGATGGCCACACCAGCTCTTTCTGTGCTCCATGACCAAATACTGAAGTGGGGTTTGTTTTGTTTTCGAGATGCAATTGTGACATCCATAGAATCTTTAGTTTTTCAAAGTCTTAATTATACCCTAGGCTAAGTATCTAAAGGAAAAAAAATCTAAGACATTGAAGTCATTTACCCACTTTCATTCAAAGGCTAAGTGTTGAATGTCAGTGAAATAACACCCGGTCGGAACATTGCTTTTATCTCCCCAACCCTGACTCGTATTTAGCAATGACATTGGGATTCCCTTAATACAGTCGTGATTGTTCAAATCACTTAGCCCAACAATGGTAGGACATTAACTGTCTACTTAGCTCAGATGGCACTGCTTGCAGTGTGTGTGTCCCTAGCACCCCAAAGCCAGTGCCGGGAGACTGGATGAGCTGAACAAAGTCCAGTTTAAATGTAAAGCACAGATTGCTAGATTGGGGAGCCAATTTTATTTCCGTTCAATTTTATTTCCGTTCAATTTTATTTCCGTTCAACATGGTATAAAACCAGATCTATGCACAAAGAAATGCTCACTGATCATTTCTCTATAGAGAACATTGTTTTTTGGTTTTTTTTTTTAACTTTTTTAATTTTTATTTATTTATGATAGTCACACAGAGAGAGAGAGAGAGGCAGAGACACAGGCAGAGGGAGAAGCAGGCTCCATGCACCGGGAGCCCGATGTGGGATTCGATCCGGGGTCTCCAGGATCGCGCCCTGGGCCAAAGGCAGGCGCCAAACCGCTGCGCCACCCAGGGATCCCATGGGTTTTTTTTTTTTTTTAAAGACTTTATTCATGAGAGAGAGAGAGAGAGAGAGAGAGAGAGACAGACACACAGGCAGAGGGAAAAACAGGCTCCGTACAGAGAGCCTGATGTGGGACTCGATCCTGGAACTCGGGGGGGATCACGTCCTGAACCAAAGACAGACCCTCAATCAACTGCTGAGCCACCCAGGCATTCCTATAGACAACATTATAAAATTTAAAAGTCCCATGTAAGTTTTGAATTCATTTTCAGACACAGACTAAAAGATTTGACTCATGGTATTTGGTGGTTTCCTATGGATAAATTCTTCATGTTGTCACTTCTACCACTCAGTAGCAATTAAAGAACTCTCCGAGGAAGGGAATGATGACTAGCACTAGAACTGTCTGCACATATGGTGGCTGCACATAAGACGTATTAAATTCCTTCCAATTGGAGCATTTACAGCCCAACTCTGTTTCATCTTGTAATTGAAATATTAGTCTATAAACTTCTGCTTGCAACATGCTTTGTAACCCCTTTCTCCTGTCTTGCCCTGCAGAACTCTGTTACCATCTGCAAGAAGGTGTCCTGCCCCATCATGCCCTGCTCCAACGCCACAGTTCCTGACGGAGAATGCTGCCCACGGTGTTGGCGTAAGTTCTTAAAACTGCATGACCATTCTTTAGTGACAAGGGTCAGTTCTCCATGAACACAAGACCACTGGAACCCCACCCCCATTTCCATGGTGTGTTTTAACTCCGTTTCCTGCTGCAGCTTCTGGTTAACTGATGACTTGGCTGCTCTATATAGGCAATAAAGATCTCACCCTAGCTTATCGATTTTGACTTGATGCTCAGAGGAAAGGAGAGACGAATTTATAGCAGCACTTTTAGAATTTGACGTCATGGCCTAGAGTTAAAAAAGATCTCACCAGATAAATTGATAGTCCAACATGCAAGCACTGCACTTAATTTAGGGCCTGAAAGTTGTATCCATTTTATCTGCATGAGCAAGAGGCCTAAGAATAACTGCAGTTTCAGGTATGAGGCACTGGCAGAAATAAGGCACTGTATTGTTCCATGGCACCCTATCCCCCGGTTTCTGTTGCCAGTATATACATTCATCACTCTGCTGAGACGATACTGAATGTAGTATGTACAAGTCCTAAAAATGATTCAGCACAATTGAGATAAATGAAGTGGGGAAGTAGCACTTCCCCTACCCCTCCACCCACCCCGACCCTTCCACAAAGCTGGTCACCAGCTCAGAATAAGCCGTCTCCTCCAGGGATCGTGTTGGTGATCTTGGCACTGTGATTATTGTGCACCTATTTGCTTCTCTTCAGCTGTCACTTCAGGTGTGGGCTAAAGAGAACAAAGCTAGCTGGAGACTAGTGGCGTCTTAAACTTAAATCGGGACTGCTAGGAAAACTTCCAGCTGCTGGCCAGAGAAACCAGTTCTCTGTCTTGTGTCTGATACAGCTACATGTGATTGTAGTCCTGGGACCTGGGCAGATGGTAAACAAACCGCTTCTCTTGTGAAAGTATGTACAGAGAAGGCCCCACATGCTAGGGTAAGAGGAGCTGCACACTGCTTAACCTCATGACAGAGTTGGAGGCAGGGCCAACAGCAGCTACGCTGCCTTCGGGCTTGTCTGCCAAACACGTGGTCTGGCTCCCTTGACAGTCCAAAGTGACTCTGAGCTGCCTACACATCTAGTACTCTTGGAAGCCTGAGACTGGAAATGCCTAGCAAGATCTCTTAAGTCAGGAAAGAGCGCCTCATTGAAAGACTGAGAAAGCCCTGGCCTGGCATTCTGTTACCCGGTGAGGGAATAAACCTGTGGCTGGTGGCCTGAGACAGACATGGCTTTTAGCCCTCTGGCAAAGGAAGAAGGTCCTAGAGAGCACAAGCTAACCAACAGCTTGTCTCGATCACACACTAATGAACCCACTTCCTCTGCAGCCAGCGACTCTGCGGATGATGGCTGGTCCCCATGGTCCGAGTGGACCTCCTGCTCTGCGACATGTGGCAACGGAATCCAGCAGCGTGGGCGCTCCTGTGATAGTCTCAACAACCGATGCGAGGGCTCCTCCGTCCAGACGCGGACTTGCCACATTCAGGAGTGCGACAAGAGATGTGAGCACCCTGGCCGCATGGCAGTGTGGAGCACATGCTTGTCCTCATCCAGAGAGCATAGTGGCCAAGGATACAGTTTCTAGACTGCCAGAGTCTGAACCCCAGTTCTGCTCACCTGGGCACCCTTGAACCCAGCTTACCCCCTGGCCCCCGAGGCTCTTCCCTCAATTGCAAATTGGGGATGATAATAACTCTTCATAGGGCTCTTTTAAGGATTTCGTTTAGGCAATGCATTTAAAGCAGTTAGCACAGAGTTTGACATGTGGCCAGCGCCCTATAACCGTCAGCTTTGTATTTTAGTTAAACAGGATGGCGGCTGGAGCCACTGGTCCCCGTGGTCGTCTTGTTCCGTGACGTGCGGTGATGGTGTGATCACTAGAATTCGACTCTGCAATTCTCCTAGCCCCCAGATGAATGGGAAACCATGTGAAGGCGAAGCCCGGGAGACCAAGGCCTGCAAGAAAGACGCCTGCCCCAGTAAGTGAGAGCGTGCCACACTACCCGGGGCTGAGCAGCAGCTCCGCCCCGCCGGATGCCTGGCATCTGCAGCCTCTGGTTGGGTGGGTCATAAACGGGGGAAAGGTTACTTCCTAGGGAACAAGTAGAGGCCAAGTTCTGCATGCTCAGCAGCTTCTTTTAATAAAAAACAGAAAGGAAACCATCTTAACCTCTCTCTCCTCCCAGACCACCTCTCCGTGTGTCCGAGGAGCAGAGGTTTTCTTGAACAAATTTAGGAGTGTCTTCTAGGACAGACTGGGGTGTTTGAAAATTGACCTTCACTTTTTGCATGTGGTTCACTTGCTTGCAGTCAATGGAGGCTGGGGTCCCTGGTCACTGTGGGACATCTGTTCCGTTACCTGTGGAGGAGGGGTGCAGAAACGTAGCCGGCTCTGCAACAACCCCACACCCCAGTTTGGAGGCAAGGACTGTGTCGGTGATGCGACCGAAAACCAGATTTGCAACAAGCAGGACTGTCCAATTGGTGAGTCATGCAGCCCCAGGATAAAAGCACCCTTGGGAGTTTGTTTTTTCTTTGTTTAACTGAAATCCATGGTCAGCATTCAAGGCAGAAGCGCTCTGGCTCTGAATGGTCCTGAGTATTTGGGGTGCATTGTCCCTCTGGTATTTCCAAGTAGTCTCAACAAGTGACAGGTCCCATCTACCCTATGAGGTTTCCCACTGTATTTTGTGATGTGTGCCAACAACAGCCACTTACACCAACCATTTGCCCGTCTCCCCGATCTCAGATGGATGCCTGTCCAATCCCTGCTTTGCTGGGGTCAAGTGTACTAGTTACCGCGATGGCAGCTGGAAATGTGGAACTTGCCCCCCGGGCTACAGCGGGAATGGCATCCAGTGCAAAGACGTGGATGAGGTAAGGAAGTGCTGGCTGAGTTACTGGGTCTTGGAAAGCAGTTCAGCTGTCCCTGTCACCTCCCAGGGTGCCCGTATCTGAACATGGGGCCAACTGTTGTTTCTTCCCCCAGTGCAAAGAAGTCCCTGACGCCTGCTTCAACCACAACGGAGAGCACAGGTGCGAGAACACCGACCCCGGCTACAACTGCCTGCCCTGCCCACCACGCTTCACAGGCCCGCAGCCCTTCGGCCGTGGTGTAGAACATGCCACCGCCCACAAACAGGTAGACTGGCCTAGGCTGCTGGCCCAGAGTAGATGGGGTGCCTCAGCTGAAACAGCCAGGAAAGGGAAACCTGTCCTTTCACAGCCTTCACAAAAACAGGGAGAGGGCTGAGCAGACAGCCTAGATTTTAGAATTGTTGGGTTTTTTTTTTTTTTTAAGATTTTATTTATTCATGAAAGAGAGGCAGAGACACCGGCAGAGGGAGAAGCAGGCTGCATGCAGGGAGCTCGATGTGGGACTCGATCCTGGGACTCCAGGATCACCTGGGCCGAAGGCAGGTGCTCAACCACTGAGCCACCCAGGCGTCCCTGGGTTTTAGAATTGAATGAATCTGGGAGGGGGACAATAGCCTATCATATTTGAAAACTGCTACTCTGGAATAAATCCTGAGCAGAAGGGCTTGTACATCCACAAGGGGAGAAGAGGGACAGAGGTACCCCATACTCCTTCTCACGGAGCCTCTGTCTTCTTGGGGATGAGTGGGACACAGGGACTCTTGAAGGCTCTACGTTAACATCAGGACATTGTGCCCTCAGGTGTGTAAGCCCCGGAACCCCTGCACAGATGGGACACATGACTGCAACAAGAATGCCAAGTGCAGCTACCTGGGCCACTACAGCGACCCTATGTATCGCTGCGAGTGTAAGCCCGGCTATGCGGGCAATGGCATCATCTGTGGGGAGGACACAGACCTGGACGGCTGGCCCAATGAGGACCTGGTGTGCGTGGCCAATGCTACCTACCACTGCAAAAAGGTAGAGCTGGCTTCCCTTCTGTGCCTTCTGAGAGAAGGAACATAGCCCTTCCCCCAGGAAGAGGCTGAGGAATTTTTAATGCTTAAAATTAGGAAATGAATCAAAGATGAAATCACACAAAGGCAGAATAGTACAAAGGTTTTTTTTAAAAAAAAAAAAAAAAAGACTATTCATGAGAGACACAGGCAGAGGGAGAAGCAGGCTCCCTGCAGGGAGCCCGAGGTGGGACTTGATCCCAGGACCCTGGAATCATGACCTGAGCCAGAGGCAGACCCTCAACCATTGAGCCACCAGGTGCCCCAGAATAGCACAAAGTCTTAACATTAAATCCCTCGGTGCCACAAACAAGAATAGGGCAGGCCCTTTTGGCCTGTATGCTCCAGAGCTGGTTCTTTTCTCTGGAAAAATGTTCCTGGCTCTTCCAGATACCCACAGGGCAGGACTTATGCTCCCAGCAAGTACAAAGCACAGGGCATTCTTACAAAGGACACATCCTCCAAGAAAATGCTTAATTTCTTGTCCTCCCATTAAAAACAGTAAGATGCTAGCAGGGAGTGCAGCATTCCTGGTCTGGATGCAGCGTCTGGGGGCCTGGGCTGAGCAAAGGGCACACAGATAGCAGCCATCATGCATGTGCATCCTCTCTTTCCAGGATAACTGCCCCAATCTTCCCAACTCTGGGCAGGAAGACTATGACAAGGATGGGATTGGCGACGCCTGTGATGACGACGATGACAATGATAAAATCCCAGACGACAGGGTAAGGATATGTCCTGGCCTCTTTCCTTCACCTCCTCTATGTAGCAGCAGGCTACAAGACTCCAAGACTGTCCAACTCAGAGCTACTTGGGGGTAGCTTGAACACCTAGATGCTACCAAGAGAAGATCTCAAATGGGGGTTTTGGTTTCCCATCACAACCTTCCTCCCCCCCCCCCCCAGGTTAACCAAGAAATTACAACATGTAAACAGACGACACTCCGCTCCCCAGATTGGTTTCATGTTCTAACCTAAATGGCAGTAAAATTCATTTTGAGCCTATGGAAAACTGGGGCAGTGCCCTTATTTACATTTCACTGACTTGTAAGCAACAGGAATCTATTTTTCATCCATTAGGGCCCTGGCTTTTAACTGGTACAGCGAGGTGAAGTAGAAAATGTTTTATATAACACAGATGCTTTGAGGCTTGAGCTGGTTTCATGGGCAGTATCCTAAAATGCTCCATTGCTTTGCAGGACAACTGTCCTTTCCATTACAACCCAGCCCAGTATGACTATGACAGAGATGATGTCGGAGACCGCTGTGACAACTGCCCCTACAACCACAACCCAGATCAGGCTGACACGGACAACAATGGGGAAGGAGATGCCTGTGCCGCAGACATCGATGGGGACGGTAAGGCATTCCCTGACAGCATAGACCTGGTGGTGGTGACCACACTCTGCTCTCACCTGACCTTTCTCCAGCTTTGGCTATGGGGTGTGGTTTGTTGACATGCCAGAGGCTGGAGATTCCAGCCCTTACTGGTCACTTGTTCTCTGTAGGTATCCTCAATGAACGTGACAACTGTCAGTATGTCTACAACGTGGACCAGAGGGACACTGATATGGATGGGGTTGGAGATCAGTGTGACAACTGCCCCCTGGAACATAATCCAGATCAGGTAGGTGGACTCCATTGAGAATCTTCCAGTGGGTTACTGGAATAGCTCTTGCTAGGTCTCTCTTTTTTTTTTTTTAAGTTCAAATTATTTCATGACCAGGGCTCTCAGAGGTCTCAAAGCCAATTGCAGTATTTTCATGAGCATGAAATATATCGTGGGAGCTCTTTGCATGAGAGCATCCCCTAGATAATTTCACTCCTATAAGGGCTTACTCTGTGTGATCTGCCAAATTATACAATGCAGAAATCTGATAACTCTAGTAATATTAACCATTTCTAAGACTAAGATGAAAGGGAAATATCCTTAGGGAAAATCAATAACCATTTTCACAGCTAATGATAAAATCTGGTTGTAAGAAAACCTCAACTTAAGAATACCTCCAAAACCTGTTTGTCATTCTTCAAAATTACTTGGCATTGCAAATCAATCGTTCTCTGTGTGAGGGAGTGCTACAAATAGACATTAGCCAGAACAGTTTCTGTGTCTGGAGCTGTTTCTTTTCACATGTAATTGGCCATCATATTCCAGCAGTGTAAGTTAAGGCATTTCTTCTCTAAAATGCTTTGCTGTAAAAATTTGGGAGACCAGCTTTTTAAAAATGGAAGCTTTATAAGATCCCAGAAATGATAAATACAGCTTTTTCCTCCTAACACTTGTTTTTATGAGGTCTTGTTCTCATGAGGTCCTGGAAGACAAAAGGCAACAGGGTAACTAGCTGTGAGGCCATAATAGGAAAGTGTAATGCTCTGGGATAGCTTTGCTGAGCAGATGGCATCGAGGCCTCTATTTTCAGTTTGGGTCTTAATCATAAATTTATTTAACATTCAGTCTCCATGGAGGATTTGTTTCTCCGATTCTAATATTTATAACCAGGCATTATGTAAATCTTACTGGCAAGAAAAATTCCAATATGCATAAATAATCTCTGAGCATCCCATGCTCACTAAATATGAAAGTAGCAAGAAATAGTTTTGAAAAAACTTAGAATTTTACTTTACCTGAACCAGCAAATAACCCTCACAGACTAGAGGTATAAAACTACCAAAAAAGGTATAATAATAAAAATCCTTGATCCCTGCCATACACGTGACTCAGGATATACAAAAAGCAGTGCCATGTTTCCATGATTCAAACCTAGAGCAGAAGTGGACCTGTCAACAATTTTACAATTGAAACTTGCAATGGAAAATAAGAAAATGACCCAAAGAACTACATTTAACGTTGCAAAGCAAGCAGTTAACAGACTGAAATCTTAAAGTTTTGGTCTGTTAAAGTAAGGCACCTTAGTGATTAATTTAATTTAGAAAGCTTTATATTTAAAAACTCTAAATCTCTTTAAAAACTTAAAAAAATTCTCTTGATCCTTGATTTTCATGTTAAGATTTATTTTGGGGGGGGGGGGTGGGGAGGGAGTGGAAGGAGGAGGAGAGGAAAAGGAAAGAATCCCAAAAAGACCACACACTGAGTGTGGAACCCAATGGGGTTCGAGCCCAACACCCTGAGATCATGACCTGAACTGAAATTGAGAGCCAGGTGCTTAACTGACTGAGCCACCCAGGCACCCCAAGGATTAAGGAAATTTTACTACCATTCTTTCAGCAGGCGCCTACAGACCTGAAACCCCAGTGGCCATATCAAACACTGGAGAATCTTCCATAAGTCATCTTTAACATTAATGACCTATACTTCAGTTTATCTTCTTTTCTCTTTCAGCTTGACTCTGACTCAGACCGCATTGGAGATACCTGTGACAACAATCAGGATATTGATGAAGATGGCCACCAAAACAACCTGGACAACTGTCCCTATGTGCCCAATGCCAACCAGGCTGACCATGACAAAGATGGCAAGGGAGATGCCTGTGACCATGATGATGACAATGATGGCATTCCTGATGACAGGGACAACTGCAGACTTGTGCCCAATCCTGACCAGAAGGATTCCGACGGTGAGTCAGTGGAGCTACTTTTTAAGTGACTAATACCATGGCTCTCTGGATTGAGAATAAAAGCAAAACTAATCATATTGGAGAAGATGAAGAGACTAGCTGCCAACTTTTAAAGATAGTGAATTTCTGACACCAAGAAGTTTTCAGAACTTCACTGAACTTTTACTTTTTTGACCTTAGGTGATGGTCGAGGGGATGCTTGCAAAGACGATTTTGACCATGACAATGTGCCAGACATTGATGACATCTGTCCTGAAAACATTGATATCAGCGAGACTGATTTCCGCAGATTCCAGATGATTCCTCTAGATCCCAAAGGGACATCCCAAAATGACCCTAACTGGGTGGTACGTCATCAGGGTAAAGAACTCGTCCAGACCGTCAACTGTGATCCTGGACTTGCTGTAGGTGAGTTAGCGAGTTCTCCATATGAGAAAGAGGCAAATCTAAAACCGAGCATTTACATGTATCCCTGAGGTACTAAGGATGTCTGGGAACGTGACAGAAGCTTCTAAAGGCTGCAGCTTTTAACCTGGCTCTGGTCTCCTTTTCCTAGGTTATGATGAGTTCAATGCTGTGGACTTTAGTGGCACCTTCTTCATCAACACAGAGAGGGATGATGACTATGCTGGATTTGTGTTTGGCTACCAGTCTAGCAGCCGCTTCTATGTGGTGATGTGGAAGCAAGTCACACAGTCCTACTGGGACACCAACCCCACTCGGGCTCAGGGATACTCTGGCCTTTCCGTGAAAGTCGTGAACTCTACCACCGGGCCAGGCGAGCACCTGCGGAATGCCCTGTGGCACACAGGAAACACCCCTGGCCAGGTAAGAACAAGGCCCCAAGAAAGGGAGAGTGGATAGGTGCTTGGCCAGCACTCCCAACTGGTGGTGGGGTTGAGGAGGTCTTCGGTCTCAAATGCCCAGCACCACCAACTACAGCAGTAAGTTCTGCTTTGTAAAAACCTAATAGCATCTGAGAGGGGAGCTTGCTGTAACTTAGAGTTACCTTCAGCTCCGAAGACCTTCTCAGCCTGCCTCTTCAAACAAAATTTGCCCTCTTTCTGCCTTATGTGGACATTCAAGGGCACACTCAAATGAAAGCCCTTAGAAAAAAATGCAACATCACAGCCCTCTAATTGAGGTCCACTTGGTACCTTTCAAGTACTAGTTCTCCTAGAACAAAATCGAAATCTAGCCGGAGCCACGTTTCAACTTTTTCTTCCTTTAGGTGCGCACTCTGTGGCATGACCCTCGACACATAGGCTGGAAAGATTTCACTGCCTACAGATGGCGTCTCAGCCACCGGCCCAAGACAGGTTTCATTCGGTAAGATCACCCAGATTAGGTTTCACTTAGTCACACCAATGGGGAAGAAAGAGGAGACAAAAAAGCAGGGGTGTCCCTAATAAGATTTTTCTTTCTCCTGCAGCGTGGTGATGTATGAAGGGAAGAAAATCATGGCCGATTCAGGACCCATCTATGATAAAACTTATGCTGGTGGTAGGCTAGGGTTGTTCGTCTTCTCTCAAGAAATGGTGTTCTTCTCTGACCTGAAATACGAATGCAGAGGTAGGAGCAACATTACTGTGAATGCACAGTTGACATCTCTCATTCAGTCATATTGAGTGTGCCAATAATGGAAGCACATCTGTGTAAAGGATGGTTGTAGAGACAAGGGTTATCAGTACTTTGCTATTGAAGACCATGAAAAGAACAAGGCCCATGAACTGTGGCTTATGAAATTCTCCCCCCTTGTTAACCTCAATTGGCTTAGCAGTCTCTCTGCCCGCATTCACAGTAGAAAGACAATCTACAGACCTATTCCTGTACAGTTCGGACCACATGAAAACTACTTCAGGTTGACCTGTTTGTGTCTTACATGCCACTTTAGCTCTATTCACACAACTAGCCCAAGAAGTCTTTCCCAGCATTTCCCTGTGTAGGAGGAGAAAGGAGTACTGCCTTCATTTTGGTGTGCTCAATTTGCACTACCAACCTTACCTGCTTTTTATTTTCTCTCTCTGTGGTTACATGAGCACTGAATCTAGCGCAGACCTGATCTCAAATAAGTGCTTAATGTTTACCAGGCCAAGGACTGATGCCTTTAGGATGAATCAGTAAAAAGAGATGGTGGATTTCACTTAAGATTTAAATTATGATGTCATCTTTGTGAATTTTTTTTTTAACCTTGAAGCCTATAGAAAGCACAGTGTAAGCTCTGGAAGGTCAGGCTTTAAACACATTAATATTTAATAAGTTGATCATCTTAAATTATACTTTGGGCACAATGAAAGTAGAGCTATATACTAAGGCTGATTTATTAACTGATAAAGCCAGTACTTTCATGAATTAATTGGCTTATATATTTGTTTATTGAACAGATTCCTAATCAAACTGTTGATCAAAAGACTGATCCTAACCAATGCTGGTGTTGCACCTTCTGGAACCACGGGCTTAAGAAAACCCCCAGGATCACTCCTCCCTGCCTTTTCTCTGCTTGCATATCATTGTGGACACCTAGAATACGGGATTTGCCTCGAGACCATGCCATTTTCCAAATCAGACTCAGCAGGCAGCCTCTGAACGCGAAGAGAATCTTCCAAGAGCATGAACAGTTACCTTGGTGTGCTTTTCAAAAAGCAAAAAAAAAAAAAAAAAAAAAAAAAAAGCATCCACTTGCTTGGGCTGGCAAGTGGCTATCCACTCCGTTCCTGTCAGAGTAGAGTGCTCTTGTGAGGCCCTCTTTGAGACGTGGACTCAAAAGCATTTTCAGGCATGTGAGAGAAGGGAGGACTCATTAGAATTGGCCAAACACCACCCTTGACAGACTCCCTCAGAAAGAGGGGGAGCAGGGGCCCGAGCCCGAAGTGGGGGGGCATGTCCCCAAGAGATGATTGTATGAAGAAAAGATGGAGGAGCTGTTACGTGTTCGGTACTAAATCATTTTCAGGGGATTGAAAGACTCTTGCTGGATTTCATGATGCTGACCCACGTTAGCTGACTAACCCACGTACATAGGCACTTAACTAGAAGCAGGGAAGGGAGGGAAAGACTGGCTTCTGGACTTCCTCCTGGATCCCCATCCCTTACATGCCACCAGTAATGACCACAATAGGGAGTGAGCATTGAGCCAGTGGAAGTATGTGCTGGCTGCCCCTGCCTGGTTGTCAGGAAATTGTTCGTTTTATTCCACACGTAGCTCGTGCAGATGTAGCAGGAAAATCCGAAAACCTACCATCTCAGTGAGCACCAGGCTGCCTCCAAAGGGATAGGCAGCTTTGCTCATATTTTTATGGTTAGAAAGGCACAAAATTATCAACTAAAACATTCCTGGTCTCTCTTTTTCCTGAGTGTCATGGAGTTTTCCAACTCTTTAAGACTTTTTGTTTTTGTTTTTTTGTTTTTTTTACAATTAACAATATAAAATATTTATTTTTTACTTACTCTGGAGGATCTGTCTGAAAGACTATTCATGGAACAGGAAGAAGCGTAAGGACTATCCATATCAGCTTTGTTAGGAGTCTTCATGACTGTAAGATTGTAAATACAGATTATTTATTAACTCTGTTCTACCTGGAATCTAGGTTTCATATGGAAGATGTCTGACAGCAGGTAGTGGAGATTTATCAACCAATGTCTCATGAACGGCACAAGGAACATCAGAGCAAGATGCTCTTTACTTTGTGCTCAGAGTGAATGATTTGGGATCTTTTTTCTTTGTCTTTTCAAGTGGAATGAGTTGTCTGTTTGCTAGTGTCTTTAAGTTTCAAAGAAAGCCACGAGGCCTTTCATAACTTTTACCCCATCCCTTGTGCCTATTTCCAGGGAGAAGAAAAGTATCTACACTTTTTTGTTTTTCCAAAAGAGAAAAAAAAAATAACAAAGGTGAAACTTATATACAAATATTACCTCATTTGTTGTGTGACTGAGTAAAGAATTTTTGGATCAAGCAGAAAGAGTTTAAGTGTCTTACAAACTTAAAGCTACTGTAGTACTTTAAAAAAAAAAGTCAATGTTGTACATAGTATAAAAATTCTTTGCAGAAAAGTATTCCCAATAAGAAAATAGCATGGAAATGTTAAATACATTTTCTGAAAGTTGTTTTTTTCTATCTTATATACCATTGCTTTATTTTTATAAATTATTTTCTCTTTGCCCTTGGAATAGATCTCAGATTGTGTAGATATGCTATTTAAATAATTTATCAGGAAATACTGCCTGTAGAGTTAGTATTTCTATTTTTATAAAATGTTTGCACACTGAATTGAAGAATTGTTGGGGTTTTTGTTTTTTGATTTGTTTTTTGCTTGTTACCCTCTCCCCCCAGTTTTTACTATTTGCCAATACCTTTTTCTAGGAATGTGCTTTTTTTTGTACACATTTTTATCCATTTTACATTCTAAAGCAGTGTAAGTTGTATATTACTGTTTCTTATGTACAAGGAACAACAATAAATCATATGGAAATTTATATTTATACTTACCGTATCCATGTTTATTTGTTCTCTGCTGGCTTTGTTATGAGGTGTAGGTAAAGTCTATTCCTAAATCAGTAAGAGCATACACAAGAACACATTACAGTAACTAGTAGTAACATTCCCAGTTCCTATATAATTGAAGAGTGATTTGTTTAGGGAACACATTTGCTGGATTTGTGCAATAAGAACAAAACATTACCTGCCAGATGGGATGCCCGAGTGGCTCTCAGTAGGTTAGCCGTCTGACTCTTGATCTCAGCTCTGGTCTTAATCTCAGGGTCTTGGGTTCAAGCCCCTCGTGCTCCATGCTGGGTGTGGAGCCTCCTGAAGAGTCCTTTCTTTCCAAGATTTTTTTTTTTAAGACGTGGACCCCCCCAACAGGATATTTTATATTTTACTAAGGTAATCAAATGTCCTACTGAATCCTTTCCAAAGTACAGTTCTGTTTCTAAAAACAGTGAAAATGGGAAAAAACACAGGAAGTGCACACAATTCTCACAGCTACATTTTCTGACCCATGAATTACAGCGCTGGATGGGCAACACAGCTGCATGTTGTGGAGAAGCATTAGAAGTACGTGCTAAGGAGGGAGGGACCGTCCTTACAAAGTTGGGCCAAACTCTATAGACCTCACCTTTTAGAGAATGAATTCACCTTTGGTCAAAAACAGGACTAAAAAAGAATTCATAAGAAATTCCAAAAATACATATAAAGTATCAAGTCAGTTTTTGCAGAGCAGACTAAAGCAGACCTTGAATTCTGGGTGAGCTAACAATGACTGTTGAATACTGACAGATTAACTTCCAGCTTTAATAACAGGTAGAATCAGAAATCCTAGGATTAGGCTAAAGGTCAGGCTTCGGGGTCCAGTAAACATTAAAAATGACTGGCTAACAGACTCTTCTCGTTGATTTTTGTCTCTCATTCTAAAAATACTTCTCCATCTAAGGGAACATAACCATATATAAATATAAGTTTCCAAATCATTTCATGGTGCCCAGGTGAAGAATCAAGAACTAGAAGGTATCAGAAAGGGTTACAGAGTTTGGAAAACTGATTTGAAAGGCAACTCTTTGAAACAGAACATCATTCTTTCTCAGAGGAGCACAAACAAAGCAAGTCTTGGGAGAGAATTCTAATTCACTTTGAAGTAGCAAACCTACAGTAACTGAGAAGATCCTGATTGGACCAAAAAAGTGTATAGAAACAGGAGCTTCTTTCCTAGGTATGTTCCATGTTTACTCGGAGACTGACCTTCAAATCAGTAGGTTGAATTGAAATAAAGGGCTTGTTAAAAATGAAAATTATGCCATCAGGATGATAGCTTTTTCCTGCTCCGAGAGTTTATTTACATGTGTTTCAGATTTGGACTGAAGGACAATAAACCTCAGGTCCTATGGGAATTTACAATAAAGCTGGTGCCAGTAGGTTTCTTGAGAAGTGATTAGCAGAAAAATCTCAAATTTTAAGATCCTGAAGATACACTTTCCTACTTTTCTTCTCTATCTTGTTCTGGGGCAAAGACTCAGGTCTAGAGGAAATCTTAAAATAAAAACAATGATTTTTAATAACACTTTCTCTCCCTTTCAGGGTTAAAAAAAACAACTCTGGAGCCTCCATGTTGAGTTATATTATACCCCTGAATTCACCTGATCTTGTCTGAATTATATGTATAACTTACCAATCCTTGTTAGAGGAACTTTCAATTGACCTGCTATGAAATGGTGTCCCCTCTTTCAATGGCAAAATCCATTACTCAAGATCATTCTGTCTTCCTCCCCTTCTCTTAAAATCCTATAACATAGGGATCCCTGGGTGGCGCAGTGGTTTGGCGCCTGCCTTTGGCCCAGGGCGCGATCCTGGAGACCCGGGATCGAATCCCACATCGGGCTCCCGGTGCATGGAGCCTGCTTCTCCCTCTGCCTATGTCTCTGCCTCTCTCTCTCTCTCTCTCTCTCTCTCTGTGTGTGACTATCATAAATAAATAAAAAATAAAAATTAAAAAAAAATCCTATAACATAAAGGCTCACTATACCCCAAATACCGTTTGCAGAAACACATTATAAAGCCATAAGCTCTCATCTCCCACCCCCCTCCACACACACTTACACACCGACCCCCCCCACACACACACACACACTCATATACCAGAAGCACACAAGTTTAGAAAGCTGACCTTCTCGAAAAGGGTGATGGGCCAAAATTGGCTCCTCTCTGTCATCGTTCCAAGTTCCCACCCAGGTCACCTCTCCCCGGACTCAAACCTTATAATGCACATGTCACTCCTAGGAGAGTCTAAAAGCATGACTTTAATTTCTGCCAGTACCCACACAACAAAATTCTTAGCATCAAGATAAGTTACAGTCACACATGGACATCAACATGAACCACAATTACTTTAATGTAAACTGAAAGGGGAGGCTCAAAAAAGAAATTGCCTGTTGATTCCTCTGAAAATAGTAAAAAATTCATTTTTTAAAGTCAAGGAAATGTGATATAAGTGATCATTAACATCATCCACTATCAGTAGATGAAAACATGTGAGCAAAAAATAATCATCTACATTCCTATCACTCCAAACTTCATTAAAGGCAGAACAATAGCCAGCTCATTTCTTTTTCATCAGAAATAAACTGGACTTCTAGCTCTAGCCACCAATTCATTGGGGAAAAAAAAAGTGCTGACATAAAATTTTCTTGTGAATCCAATGACTTACTTGGAACTCGACAAAACTTTTAAAATAGAAATTTTCTTAAATAGCCAATCTTTATTTGCTGCATTCTAAGTTTCAGGGCACTCTGGAAAAAAATATCAGTATCTTCCCTTTGCCCCCTCTTTATGGTATTTATGGCATTTTGATTAATGACCATGTATTTAAGGGTATTGTCCATCTATTACCAGTGTAGCATAAGCATGACCAAAAAGAAGATTTAGAAGACTTCTTTATATGGTTCTTCATAATAGTTGTATATTAAATTATTAACTAGAAGGTGGTTGTCTCTATGACATCTGTAAGTCTAATGTGGAGGAGCAGCAACAAATTATTTAATATTTTAATAAATATTTTTTACTTATCCCCTCCAGCCTTCATGATATTTAAAATTAGAGGGTTCACCATAGTATTCTTATTGGGAGACAGTAGGTTAGTAACTGCAGTAGATATATGTTTGCTTCCTCCTAAGCACTCCTTGCAACCGCTTACTTTTTACTATTGTCCCTAGTTTCTACATGCTATTCCAGGGAGATTGACCCAACTCCCATCTAGGAAAGTAAGCATGACTCCTTGACTACACCAATCATCATAATCCATCCTCTGGCCACAGAATTTGCGTCAGAGATGTGAATGTGATTAAACTGGTTCAATCAAAGTGAAGCATTGAACCTCTGCTCAAAATTCTGATGTATATATACTCTCTCCAACAGGATGATATATTTGCTGCATTCTGAAAGATTATAACTGATAATAAAAAAAATAAAGTAATTCAAACTCCTGTTTAAGCAAAGTATCATTGCTAATAAGAAAGCAAAGCCTATGCTAACATTGCTTTGTTGAGAAAATTATTTTTTTTCTATGGCAAGTTGTACTTACCAGGCATTAGAGAGGAGGAAAGCCAGAACATCAGGGCCCAAATAAGAATTCAGTGATTAAATCTGGAGTCCCAATGAAGTTGTAACACATAAAATCAAATACAAAGTCATAATAGCACTTCAACTAATTTTAACATAGCACACACATACATAAAATGGTGATTTCTGTAATGTATCCCTGATGTTACAAGATTAGCAATAAAACACAATTTTACCAGGAATTTCAATGGAGAAAGCCATTGACCAATTGTACCCCAAGTCTCAAAAATATCAAAGAAATATAATCCAGGAAGAGAATCCAAATATTAAAGTCAGTGTTTGACCAGTGGTCTCCATAAATGCAGTCACTGAATATAAGGATTCAAAAAAAAAGTAATTTAATTTACCAACTTTCTTAAAAGCACACCCAGCAAGTCTTTAAGATTTTTTCCATTCTTCCATCACATCTTCAGTCTCCTATTCATCTGCACATTGAAAACAATAACCAAAGTTGTAAAGCAATCAGAAATGTATGCATAATTAAGAAAAATTATTCAACCTACAGAAACAGTAAGTCATTTTACACATGAGACAATAGCTGTTCTCATTTAATATTTGTTGGACACTCACCACGAGCTGTATACAAAGTTCACAAGAAAAAAACAAAAGAGAAGGGACCGCCTTCATTTAGCTTACAGCCAAGAAAGAACTTGCTAGGTTTTGAGAGCTAAAATAGTTATGGATTTGGAGATGACATCAACCTGTGTTATTGTTGCTTGCTTTGCACTATTTCTGGGAAGCAGGCTGAAACCAAAAGTAAATGTGACATTCAGGGTGGACAAGAATTGATCATTTTCTATTTCTTCAGTGTGAGAAAAAAGAAATGTGACACTAGCAGAAATGAAATGGAAATATTCTCCCAACCTTAGTGAGGTTATCAGCAAAGCCAGAAGTGATAACAGAACGAACAAAAAGAACACAATAAAATTAAAGCCAGACACCAGAAAAACTGACACCCTCATACACCACTGGTGGAAATGTAAAATGGTGCAGCCACTTTGGAAAACAGTCTAGCAGGTCCTCAAAAAGTTACCATAGTTACCAGTAACTCTACTCCTGTGTGTACGCCACAGAGAAAACACATCCACACAAAAATCCGTAGGCCAGTTTTCAGAGGATTACACATAACAGCTAAAAAGTAGAAACAACCCCAATGTCCATCCAACTGATTAGTGGATAAAGAAAACTTGGTACAGCCATACAAGACATTATCATTCAACATAAAAAAAGAATACATAGACCACATCTTCTTTATCCATTCATCTTTCGATGGACACCGAGGCTCCTTCCACAGTTTGGCTATTGTGGACATTGCTGCTAGAAACATTGGGATGCAGGTGTCCCAGCATTTCACTGCATCCGTATCTTTGGGGTAAATCCCCAACAGTGCAATTGCTGGGTCATAGGGCAGGTCTATTTTTAACTCTTTGAGGAACCTCCAGACAGTTTTCCAGAGTGGCTGCACCAGTTCACATTCCCACCAACAGTGTAAGAGGGTTCCCCTTTCTCCACATCCTCTCCAACATTTGTGGTTTCCTGCCTTGTGAATTTCCCATTCTCACTAGTGTGACGTGGGATCTCATTGTGGTTTTGATTTGTATTTCCTTGATGGCCAGGGATGCGGAGCATTTTCTCATGTGCATGTTGGCCATGTCTATGTCTTCCTCTGTGAGATTTCTGTTCATGTCTTTTGCCAAACTATGGAGAGAGCCTCGGTGTCCACAGAAAGATGAATGGATAAAGAAGCTGTGGTCTATGTATACAATGGAATATTACTCAGCCATTAGAAATGACAAATACCCACTATTTGCCTCGACGTGGAGGGACCTGGAGGGTTATTATGCTGAGTGAAATAAGTCAATTGGAAAAGGACAAACATTATATGTTCTCATTCATTTGGGGAATATAAAAATTAGTGAAAAGGAATAAAGGGAAAGGAGAGAAAATGAGTGAAAATATCAGTGAGGGTGACAAAACATGAGACACACCTAACTCTGGGAAATGAACAAGGGGTAGTGAAGGGGAAGTAGGCGGGAGGTTGGGGTGACTGGGTGATGGGCACTGAAGGGGGCACTTGGGATGAGCACTGGGTATTATGCTATATGTTGGCAAATTGAACTCCAATTTAAAAAAATAAAAAATAAATAAAAACTTTAACTTTCAACTTAAAGTAAAATGAGGTTAAGGTTTAAAAAAAAAAAGAATACAGATACCTCCTACAACATGGATGAAACTTGAAAACATTTTGCTAAGTGTAAGAAGCCAGATGCAAAAGGCCACATGTTGTTATGATTCCATTTATATGAAATGTCCAAATGAGGCAAATGCAAAGGCACGGAGACAGAAAGTAGATTAGTGGTTGCCTAGCACGGGGGGTGTTGGGGGAATATGGGGAGCAGGTATAACGTTTGTTTTGCGGGGTGAGGAAAATGTTGTAAAATTGATAGTGGTGATGGAAGCACAATTCTGTGACTATAAAAACCATTGAATTGTAAAGGACTGTTGAATGGTGGCCAAAAAATGTTATGTCCACATTCTAATCCCTGGAACCTATGACAGCTACCTTTCTTAGGGAAAGGGTCTTTGCAGATGTAACAGTTAAGGCTCTTGAAATAAGATGATCCTGGATTAATCCAGGTGGGCCATATGTTCGGAACAAATGTCCTTACCAGAGCAAAGCAGAGGCAGATTGGACACAAACACAGAGAAAAAAGGCAATGTGAAAACAGAAGCAGAGATTGGCGTGATGTGGCCACAAAGCAAGAAAGCCAAAGAACGTCAATAGTCTGAGACACTGGAAGAAGCAAGGAGGCATTTTTCCCTAGAGTCTCCAGGCAGAGTATTTCGTTTCTGACTCTGATTTCAGACTTCGGGCCTCCAGAACTTGAAGATACTAAATTTCTGTTGTGATCATTTGTTGTGGCAACCATAGGAAATGAATACAGGTAGATAAAATATGTGTCAATAATGCTATTTTTACAAATCAAGCTAATAATTAAGGACAAATAATTTGGAGTTTCGGAGAGTAAAGTGAGAAATGGAGTGATATGGTCTACACACGGACGAGAAACGTTAAGCAGGGAGGAAGGTGCGATAGATGAGCAGCAGACCTCAATATTCCACACCTGAGATGAGGAATGATAAGACCGTGGCCCAGGCCTTCCCAAGTACTATTTCTTCCATCTGGAGTGTTGCCCTTCTTGCCCAACCAGTAAATGACCAACATCCTCGGAGGCTTGACTCAAATGTCACTTCCCTATCTCCCCAGGGTTCATCATTCCCTCTGTACTATTGCCATAGATTTTGTCCTGAAGCTCTTACTATACTCGTCTCGCCCCTGCTGTGATTATCTGCTTAAATGCCTGCCTTCCTCAACAGACAACAATTCAGAGTCCTATTCCTTATATCCTAGAACAATGTCCTTAATGAACGAACACTGATGTCCAGAGCCAACCCCTAGAAATAGATTTGATTCATCTGGGATGGAACCAAGGCATTAGTCAGTTTTAAATCTCATCAAGTGATTCTTTTTTTAAGATTTTATTTATTTATTCATGAGAGACACAGAGAAAGAGAGAGGGGCAGAGACAAAGGCAGAGAGAGAAGAAGCCTCCCTACAAGGAGCCCAAAGTGGGACTCGATGACCTGAGCCAAAGGCAGATGCTCAACCACTAAGCCACCACCTGGGCACCCCTCATCAAGTGATTCTAACATGTTGCCAAAGGTAAGAAGTATTGCCTAAGGGATGGACTCCGTATAGCTTAAAATGCCAGACAGATCTGAGGCAATGCCAAGTAGAGAGTTCTGAAAATCAAGAGTACACAAAGCATAGATGATCCTATGCCAGTTATGTGCATCTCCAAATAAAATATCAACCATGAAAGAGTAGAGACCTCAAGCTGGGGCATGCTTGCTCTCAGTGACTAAGGGGAAGGTTACCCAAAAGCAGGACAGGAGGGATGTTTAGAGAGATAAGATAACCTGGAGAAGGTAGTATCATCATTACAATGGAATTTAAGAAAGACTGAGCAGATAGAAAAGGAGATACTTTCTGACATTATTTTCACCACTACCATATAGATAATCCTGGAGTAAAGGGACTAGCAAACCATCTAGTCCAGAGCTTCTCACTCTTTAACAAGTGTACAAATCACTTGTTGGGGTATCTTGCTAAAATGCAGACTCTGATACAGTAGGTCTGGAGCAGGGCCTAGGACCCTACATTTCCAACAAGATCCCAGTATTGCTGGTCCATAAATCTAGTCTACAGTTATGATCTTTCTCATTTTACCCAATTTGAATGAAGCAATAGAATCATAAGTTCTTATTAATTGATAAAAGGATAATGCATTGCAATACCAAAACTCTCCAACATGCTATTGTCCACACTACTAAACAAAATGATAAAGTAGTATTTTTTAAGTAGTGCCACCAGTGGCACATATTTACATGAAAAGTCCACCTCAAATCAAAATAGAAGAAAATTAGCTGAAAGTAACTTGAAAAGATAAGTTCATTGAAGATCAACATACTATATACTAAAGTTTTATATCAAGAGGTAATGAACACTGGAAATTTCTCATATAGCAGCTCTTATATTTTGATCAAATAAATTTGGGGAGGGGTTTAGTTACAAGGAGCATCTGAAAAGCAATGAGTCGCCTTGAAAAAGTAATTTAACAAATAACAACTAGGAAGCCTGAAGGCACACACAGTTTGAGGGAAACAGAACTCCATTAAAGCAATGATGAGTTAAGTATTTCCCTAAGAGCAAGCCAACATATTTTTTTAATGGAAAAAGGAAGAGAAAGGAAAGAAAAGAAAAGAAAAGAAAAGAAAGAAAGAAAGAAAAGAAAAGAAAAGAAAAGAAAAGAAAAGAAAGAAAAGAAAAGAAAGAAAGAAAAGGTAGCTAATAGTGTTACTATTTTAGAATCTCAGAGCTCCACTACAAACCAGGAAGTCTATATTACAACAAAGAAAACATTCTCAAAACAATCTAGTGCCTTTGAAACTATTCAAGTGGTCCGAGGAAGGACCTATACTAACACACAGCCCTTCAAAACTGCAACGTCCTTCACAAAAGCTAATCCACCTACAACCACCTCAAGTTACAGTCAATGGTGAATCACTGCATTGTACACCTGAACCTAATTTAACAGTGTAAACTATACTGGAATTAAAATTTAAAAATAAATAAGAAAAAAGTTACAAGCAAATAAAGTTTTGGTGGGTAGCATCTCAACTTGAAGTATTTTCAGATTATACAGTGGTCATTGTTGGTACAACTTGTTCCATCCGAGGACCCCAATGGAATAACACAGTTAGCTTTCTTACATCTATACTGAAATCCGTACTTCTCAAATATGTATAACAAAATCTTGTAGCTTGTATTAATCTGACAGACTGAATGCTCCACACCAGGGAT